TGACTGAAGAAGCATTTCACCGAAGACTTTTGAGCGCTACTGTATGTACCTGAGAAGGGGCGAGCGTTGAGACGAAAGCCACTTTTCAGAAATTAATGCATCCTTGCTTGGAAACGTTCTAGAATGCGGGGAAAAAAGTGGCTGGAAGCAACGAAACAAATGTGGCCAAATCTCGGAAGCGGGCGGGGTTGGCACCGAAATGGGCGGAGCATAGATCAAAAATTTGTAACTCTATTTAGAAACGTTGTGGGATGCGGGAAAAATTGGTAAGATGTAGTAGAGCAAATGTGGGTCAACAAGCAAAATGAAGGAAAGTAACCTGCGCTGAGCGAAGCGTTTTCGTAGCGAACCTATTTCTACATGATATAATAATCCGTTTCAACAATTTGTGGAGGCCAGAATAAAATAAAAGGAGTGATTGCTTTAGACGTGCTAGGCTTTTAACGAGGCTCTGCCCAGGAGGGTGGGGCGTAAGTTCAAGTGAAGGCTGCGTCACTCTGTTCAAGAGCGTCATCATCATTAATTACCTATGAGATCATCATCGTTACTCACCATATGTGGAGAAATTGTTCTTGTCTGTCTATCTATCCTGAAATCCGGTATACCTGAAGAACCCGAGTGGTTTCTATCGGTTTCAACGTTTCAATGCTCCTTATAGCTCCTGACTCTTCAAGCACACGTACCTATACAAACATATTGACACATCCACAAACAGGCACACACCCATCGGCACACAAGCCAGTACACATAATATATAATTCGTCTGTCGCTGCGCTTCGTCTGTCGCTCTGTCGTCTGTGCTCTGTCGTTAGTATGTCTGTCGCAAAATTCCTTACAATTAGCTTCTCTATATCTGCCTGGAGAGACCGGATCAAGCGTGGGATGGGTGGGCCATGTCCCGAGAAGTATAAAGCACGCATCAGCTTGGCGGAGCCCCGCTAACAGTGGGCGTGGCGTGCATCGAAATGAGCTGTACTGAGGGTCATGATTTCAATATCAGTCACAAGACGGCTTCAAAACTGGGGTGTAAAGGTGGCTAGAGGTGTGCCTTGGTAAATTAGATCGAACTAGGGAGAACCACCACCGATAAGCGGGGCGTTCTCCAAAAATGCAATGCTTTAGAAAAGATTTATAATTCGGTTTGGAAAAAGCCAACAGAGCAGGAAAAAGTTGGTGTAGGGGAAGCATCGTCGAATTTGTTTCCAACATAAATGACTTCAGCGGAGGCCCGCCCACAATGGGCGGAGTGTGTGTTGATGTGAAAGCTACTTTAATGAGTATAATTTCGTTTGGAAAGGTTTTAGAATGCGGGAGAAAAGTGCTCAGAGGTAATGGAACAGATGCGGTCGAATTATCGGAGTGGGCGGGGCGGCACCAAAGTAGGCGAGGCTTAGATCAAATTTCATAACTTTGTTCGGAAGCGTGCTAGAGTGCGAGAAAAGTGGTTAGGGATAGTGGAACAAATGCGGTCAAATCTTCGAAGTGGGCGGGGCTGGCACCAAAGAGGGCGAGGCTTAGATCAAAATTTCATAACTATGTTCAGAGACGTTCTAGAACTCGGGAAAAAAGTGGATAGAAGCCAGCACAAGAAATGAAGTCAACCATCATTGATGGGCGGGGCATGCGCAAGTGTGGGCGGAGTCATCCACGGAACATAACACGGTTCTATGGAGTCCTGGAAAACGGTATAAAATGCATTGAGTCTGGAAAAACTGCAGGCAAAGGGAGTCCTATAACTTAGAGAAACGTGCGCCAATGTGGACGGAGTTTGCAAGAAACCCACAATCTGTTAAAAAGAAACAGGACTCCGCCTACAGTGGGCTAAGGGGCGGGGATTGAATGGAATTTCGTAGCTCCTGTTCCCGTGGACCTAGAGCGCTAAAATTTGATGGGTTGCAGGCGGCAGGATTGAAACACTTATGGTGGGTCCGGACTCCATCCATATGAGGCGGGGTTAGTTCGAAAAATTTTAACTTGGACCCAGAGCCCTCATATCCGATAGAAATACTGGCGGCAGGATGGATCACCTATGTCGGGCGGCAGGACTTAACTCCGCTCACAAGAGGCGAGGCGTGGTCAAAAAATGGTAATTTGAATTCGAAGCGAAATTTCGAAACAAAGGTTAAATAAGTCCGACATTAATTGAGTTACTCGAACACTTAAAACCTTAGGAGGTTTGTTCATAGCGGACGGGGTGCGCGTTGGGTGTTTGTGTTTGGCCGGGAATGAATAACTCCAGTTCTCATCTACCGAAGCCTCCAAATGTGAAAAGGTGCAGGCAGGGAGGCCATTTTAACGCGAGAAGGAGGGGAGCCCGGCGTCAGCCGGGAGAGCCGACTGGTGTAAACACGCACATCAACTCATACACGTACGGACACTAAAACGTTCTCAAGGAATCCTACTCAGTGAACCTTCCATCTACCCTACAATTAATCGCACAGATTGATCATGCTCTTCAATACCAGACAAATCCGTGCGTGAATGGGGTTTAGAGCGAATTAAATGAAACGAGTTTGTATAATTCCGTTCGGCACCACCCTTCTTCCCTGAAAGTTTGGCAGTCCTCCACCTGAATGTGCTCAACCTCTATACTTAGGACACGCATGATTTTATCGTACATTTCAATTCATATTGGGATGAATCTCAACAATAGTCAACCAAGCATTGACTGTGTTTACGACATTGAAGGCACGCAGATTATCCTAATCAGCTAAGAATGAAGAATGGAAACACAAAAATGTGGATATGTTTTATAGCTATTTCGTGAATTCCGTTCTTTATTCAATCCTTACCTGCATGAGTGGCTTGAGCGAATTGCATACAAGGACGTGAGTGAGAATGTCGACAGCAGTGAGCTTCTGTGAGAGAGCAGCTGAAATAACACTGGAAGCATTTTCTGCTTCAGTGACTAGAAGATCATCATGTTCCGAATGTTCAGGAAGTTCCTGTAAGATAAAATGTCGTATCGCCTACTGCCACGATGTAGATCTACCACTTACTTCCAATTGGGCTTCACGAGAACTGTTTTTTGACTCCATCCTAGTAATAGGTTGAACTATATTCACTAGCAATGTCACGCGAAGTTGCGATCGAATACCATTTGACTTGATTCCGTATTCCGAGAAACTGCTCACGATGGAGTCAATCTAGAAGCGTGGATTGAGATGAAAATAATTAGAAAGGCAAAATCGACGCTGCCAAAGGCAATCATTGCTGCTGATGAGTTGATGATTTCCTCAGCACTCCACAGAAACCATTTGAAATTCATATAAATTTTTCAGAATACAGATTGACGCGATTAGGAGAGCTCGAGTTTGCGAAAGACTGCAAACTGCTGCAAAATGGTCGCCGTTAGCAGCAATTCTTAGTTTGCAAGTTTCTCCAAATTGGTGCTAAATGTAGCTGAAATCGTCAAATGTAAGGCTTACTAGACTACAACAGAATGGACAAGTCTTCACCAACACAATTTCTACGCATTAAAATATGGTCGGTTAAAAAAGAGCTGAAAATAAATAAAAAATGAAATGAAAACTACAATACGGTTGAGTTAATCATATTTGTAATCATCCCAACTAGAGCTCACCAGAACTTCTTGTGTTAGCGTACGAATAAGGTTGCCACGATTCACACTGATTTTAACGAGAGAGAGATATTGGTTGCTATTCGGACTGAGTGGGATGATGTAATGTCTGAAAATAGAGTTTCCAAGGCAATTAATCAGAAATGGGAAAATAATGAAAAGAATGGAAAACGAACACGAGATTGGAGTCCTTGACAAAGAAGTCATACACCTTGGCATGATAGTTAGCACAGGGCAATTCCGTGCAAGTAATGTCATCGAATGCGAAATGTAGACTTATATATGCACGGATGGCGAAGTCCGCCAGCTTCTCATCGAAAAAGAATTCATGAATGACCTTGTGCACCCATGGACTAGAACTGCACAAATCCTTCGGATTCATGCCGTTATTCATCATGTTTTCGAAGAGAGATCGCAACCTGGCTACTGCGTCACTGACCGAGAGCACTTCTTTCATGTTTCTATCTGCCAGTTTCACTTTCTCAATATCCCAAACAATCTAAAAAAAGAATGATGCGAACAGTAGTGAAAACATACTCGGAAATAAGGAACTTGCTTTATTAAGGAACTTTCTGTACTTCACTCGACTATTTCGCAGAAGAAGCTGCCTAGCTTGATTACAAACGTCATCGGTGTGAAACATGTTGCCGATCTCTCGTAGATTGTTGACAAGAGGAGTGACCTGAGTCCAGCATCCTCAGAAAGATACAAAAAAATTGTTGACACAGATAATACAAAGGAATACCAAGTGCATCCCGCGTTTCTCGATAGCACTGAGCAATGCCGACATCAATTTATTCTTCCCTTTTAATTGAGTGTGCGAGTAAATCATTGCTACCACTCGATCTTTGTCGACTCCAAACTAAACAGCAGCATTTTCACTGGAGTATAACTATCCGCTAAACCTTTCGTCTAGAAAAGTGAGCTTTTAGTAATTCATGTTATAGTTGTCATCCTAAATGCATGGATAAATCTTCACCAAGGTGGGTTTTACCCCAAAATAGCACTGCCGAATGAAGCTGATTTTGATGCATAACATTTTGATAAGATGAGGCACATTTTCAGCCACTACACAACATCTCTAATAATTGTTCGATTGGATAGCTGTATAACCTGGAAACGCAACTGTATCCTTTCGCTGACTGATTATTCACATGGAATGTGCCAAAGGGTGAGGGCGATAATACGATCGGCTACATGTCAAGAGCTACAATACAAAGCCGCCATCTGGATTTCGAGTTCTTTTGATTCATTAGCAAGTGCTTCCTGACCGCATTAACCCTGAGCTTTTGAGCCCCTGAGAGTGACAGGGCAACATTACTAGCTGGCATTTCGGTTGAATCGCCTCCATTCTCGCCTGTAACGTTGAATAAGAATCAAAAATAGCACTGCGGTTTGTTGGGAAACAATTCTATAAGTTTTCCATCTAGGCGATTTGGTTTAGTTTGGGTCACTAACTAAATGCTCAAAATCGTCTACAATAGTACGATCACGCCCTTCGGATGAATGATAACTGTCCTTGGAAAACCTGAAGGCGATCAAAGCGGCACCGGCTTGATATTTTAATGAACACTCAGAGGTTGTTGGCTTTCACCCTTATCCAACACATAATCGGGAAATTAGAATCAAAGTACCACGAAAACGAAACGCGCCACCATTTGAGGAACAATACTACAACATGTTATTTTGCTTTTCAACTTAAAAAGGGTAACCCAACATCATCGTGATCTGTGCCTCTGAGTAACGAAAATTGAAAAGCGCTGCCGTTTGTTCGAGTATCGAAAACAATGCGTAAGCACTTCAGTCCAGCAGTCTTTGAAAAATCGCATGGTGTTCAGTTGTGCAATATTTTGTTTTCGGCGTTTTAATTCAGTGATCACCGCTGGTCTTGGAGTTTTTCGCCGCAATCTCGCAAAAGGATCACAATTCGAAGTGATCAAACGGAACGATGGAATAGACGTGTTTTCAGATACTGGCCTTTCCAAATTTGCTGAACGAGTCTTTTACGGCCTCGTCAAGACAACCTTAGATCCTAATCAGATGACCTCATATGAGCACCTTACATGAAAGAAGATAAAAACATTGATACACCTGCGCTCTTAGCACAAAGCAGGGGTAGGAGTGATGCCTCATATGCGTGCGACTATGGTTTTGTGAGGAGCAAAGTTTTTACGCAGTTAAAGCCACGTTCGGTTTTGTTTGGAACAAACCGTCGTCTTCGAGGACCTGAAAGTAGTTTGTAGCCCCTGTTCTATAGCTTACCCGACCATGCGTCCGAACGCGATGGGCCAGTTGCAAAATCTCTCAGAAATTGAACACCAAAAGACCTCAGAAAAGAAGTCAACCTTCTGTGGTTCTACCAGCGTTGCCGTTCCATTCGATTTTGTGAACAGCGGACCAATGAGACACCATTGACGGTCGTTAGATAAGAAAAAGCGGGGATCTCAAAGCTCACAAAAAGGAGTGAATGGCTGAAGTACTGTTGCTACACTAATTCCGGTTTTTCATATTCGGATTTCTCTCGCGGACGTGCAACGCTTACAATATCATTCTAGAACAGGAAACGTTTCCGTAGGCTTGGATTTTGCATGTAGTATCAAAATCGCTGCTCTGGTGTTCTCTTAGTGATGCTTCAAAAGTGGCGCAAGCTGGCTTCCACGCCTTTTACCTGCTATATGTTTTATAACACGTATGCCCACCATCTGTCTCGTCTCACCAATAGACAAGATGGGCCGAAATTATGATGACAGCGACCGCTTACGACATTCCATTCTGTTTCTTCCATTTCACAAGGTAGTTTACATTATTTCCTTCCCAGCGACTTTTAACTACTAAACATGCTTTACTAAACTTTTAACAAATTTTAAAAACAATGCAAGCACCACAACCCCATGAATCAATCATGACTTGGCATTTACAGTACTTTTGGCACGGAACATCTACAGACGACGCAATGTAACAAGGCACTGGTATATTCAACTATAAGACGATTTCAAGGGTTGGGAACAACTGCAGATAGGATGGGTGAACATAAAGTGCCCACGGTTATATTCAGAAGTGTAAAGGTAGCAGGGCTAACGTCTGCGTAGAAGTGGAGTTCACTCTGAGCCGAAAATGACTAAATGATTAGATATTTCATGAAGTTTTGTGCGCAAAATGGTGGAGCATCATCTGCACATAAGACCCTCATACGATCAGAAAGTGATAGTGAAGAGTGAGCAGGCTAAAGAGAAGAGATAGGCTGCATCACAAAAGCTGCCCTTCCATACCCGCAAAAATCGGCGTACGGAATTCATGCTCTTTGAAGCCGGGCGACAAGATTTATACGAAGATGAAAAAATGGAAGTGATACAGCGCTAGACTCACTGATTTTCTGCGATGGCCTTTGCGAGCATCACCGCCGAGGCAAAAACACTGGATACTTCTGTTAATTTTCCACCCGCTGGCCTACCACCTCAACGCGGTGGGTGTGTGAACGTGTGGCGTGTGGGCGTGTCCGCTTTACCACTCTTGTTTAAATAAAAAAAGGTTTTTAATGTAGTTTTTTAGTATTTCACCATGTGCTCCAATGCAAAATTTTATGCGAGGCTTCGTATTGACCAGCTTGCCGCTTCGCGTTCGAAGCTGTGGTTAGGTAGTTGTCGAGGAACTCAAGGGATGGCGGCCCCCTTGCTTGAGTCCCCCTTATCCGTCCGCCCGAGGTCGCTGTTGACTTTGTTCTTCACGCGTTAGGTTGCACACGGCAAGCTCCGGTACATGAGGTCTAAATCACTGCGTTCTGAACTAAGGACAAGGACTCACTCGGGGATATATCTACCTACCAAAAGGGAGGCAACCTGTTGCCCTGCCATATGCTTCGTCTTTACCATCAGATGTCGGCTTGTATGACCCGAAAGCTCTCGCCAGCATTTTTCTACTGTTCGATGGTAACTTTGCTTGGAGCTTTCATCATCCATTCAATTATATTTATAAAAAATATATATGTATGTAAAATTAACGGCACGTCCGCATGTCCACACGGCTAAAAGTAGGCCCCCATGTGCTAGAGCCTTGCAAATTACACGTGGATATTCATGCCAAAAACAGTAATAAAAGTGGGCCTCATTCCCCTGAGCCTGAGGGAGCCCCCAATACGACAGCTTGGGTAGGACCGCTCGGGAGAAGCTGCTAAAATATCAGAGCCAAAACAGGCTGCCCAAAAGGAGAAGGACTAAGATAGCGATCTATACTTTCAAAGCACGGACGCATGCATCGCAAGCGTGTATAGAAGACCTTATGATGCAAGCTAGGAAAATCAAGTACGACGTCATCGGACTGACCGAGACGAAAAGGCGCCGCCCGCTGCGCGCCGTATTTGAAACTGGAGAAGAACTGTTCCTTGGAATGCGACAGCAGAGACGTCGGCGGTGTAGGTGTCCTCGTCAACACGCACTTGGCCATGAACATTGATTCGTACGAAAGCTTGACAATCGAATCGGACGTTTGCGATTGAGAGGACGTGGCTCAACCAACCATCTTCGTTGCCTACGCACCAACATCAAGCTACGAAGAAGAGGAAGAAGAAGAGTTGGAAGCGTTTTATATGGATCTGGAGAGGCTCTACAGAGAAAACCACACTTTCTTCGAGGTCGTCGTTGGTGATTTCAACGCCAAGATTGGCCCCAAAAGAACGGCTGAAGAACTCCACATCAGGACTCACAGAATGGAATGGAATGAGCAGTGTGAAAGGCTATCCGAGTTTATCATGTCGACACACACTATCCATGGTGAATCACAGTTCCAGAAGCCCTCTCATTCCCGATGGACATGGGAGTCGCCTGGTGGGCAGTTCCATAATGAAAAAGACCATCATCGTCAATCGGAAGTTTTGCCTGACTGATGTCGCTGTTGTTCCAAAGTTTTATACGGGATCAGACCATCGTCTCCTCCGCGCTAGATCCGCTTTTCAGTGGAGAGAGAGCTGCGAAGTTCAGGAAACGAAGCCAGCCCCAAGACTGGTCAATTGGGATCACTTCGCTTCACTGGCGAGTTTGTGGGAAGATACTGTCAGCGACAACATCGATGAAGAATACGACCGGCTCGTCGAACATCTTCACGATTGCGCCAGGAGAGCTGAGAGTCTCAAAGATGACAAGAAACCTCTCTTCGAAGACTCTTGAGCTGATACGCCAGCGTGGAATCGCGCGAGCTGCAGGCAATAACCAGCTAACGTCCGAACTTGCGAAGCAATGCAGAGAAGCGATAAAGGAAGACCTGAATGAGAGAAGGGCAGCAGTTTGGCTGAAGCAGCCGAGGCTGGGAAGAGCATTCGCAAAGCCCGCCGGAGCTTCGTCAGTTATAAGATCAAGAAGAATTCCATTCGTCGTCCTAACGGAACTGTTACGGCATCCCGAAGGGCAGTGAAGAGTGCCACGTCTACATGCCTACCTACCATCTTAGGCAAGACGGACACGTCGTCCCTTCAGTTATCCCTTCCGAAATTCGACATGCTATCACGTCGATGAGGAATGGTACAGCACCGGCCTCTACAGGATCAAAGCAGAACATCTAAAGAGCCTTCCACCGGTCATTGTCAAAACCCTGGCCCGGCTTTTCACGCGGTACCTGTGACGTTGCAAAGTGCCCATTTCGTGGAAAACTAGCAAGACCGTGTTGCTGTATAAGAAGGGAGATTCAGACAACAATGGCAATTATCGCCCAATTTGCCTGCTGTCTGTAATCTACAAACTCTTCACACGAGTCATCCTTAACAGGATTGGCAGAATATTAGATGAAGGGCAGCCGTGCGAGCGAGCAGGGTTTCGGAAGGGGTTCAGTACAATCGATCACATCCACACCGTTACAAGACGCATTGGAGTATCGCGGGAGTACAAAATGCCGTTATGTCTTACGTTTATCGACTTGAAGAACGCCTTTGATACCGTTGAGACAGAAGCAGTAATTGAAGCCCTGGGCAACCAGGGTGTCCCTACTCAATGTACAAGGATGCGCGAATGCAGAAAGCAACAGATCTTATTTCAATGTACCATTTTAGTAGAGATTAGTGATAAACGCTTTTCTGAAATTTTTTTTGAATTATTAGCTTTCTATTCAGTTTCGGGGATGTGGTATCTATGTAATCATAATATGGCCCACCCTGTACATTTCGTCGCAGGCTAAACAGTGAAGTTGGTACACTGCCTCTTACTGTGTGCAATCTCCATCTTCTCCAAACGGACAAATAACGCAGCAGCGCATGGTAATACATGCACGATCATAAAGCCTGTAGCGGATCTGGTGAAGTTTGGCACTAACCGCTGGAAGGTTTATCAAGACAACTTCATCAGCCATGTCAGCTTGTGCAATGCATTGTTGGATTTTTGCGTTGACCTTGTCAAATATAAATGGAAGCCGGGTATAAATCATATTCTCCCAGTTTCTCGACGAACAACTCTGTGAGCCCGACCTTCGGCGTTGTGTCCCATGGCCATTCTAGTCGCAATCGCACATGCTAACTAACGAGACTGCATTCCTTTTCGCCTGTACACACTCTTCCAGCTGTTCTGTACATATCACGAACCACTACACGTTTCACAGCTTCAGGGTGAGCGGCTTGGCGGGTAGTGCGATGTTCTCCGAGCTGTCCTTCCGATTCCACTTCACATTGTGCCTTCGACTTGAGATGTTTAAATAGTTCTAGCGATAGGGCCAGCTTTTCTACTAACCACCAGTACGGAGTAAAGCCAACGACTGAACAATTCACAGAATCAGGCAAGAGTGACCAATGTTGGTGCGCAGAGAAATCTGCATCATTTTCAATCGCCGAAAGAAGCGCACTAGCACTGAATCTAGAATGCAGACGCCTATTCCATTCCTGTGTCCGTTCTATAAAGAACCAGAATCTTTCCTTAAACAAGACAAATTTCGAGACTGTCATCAGGAGTAATTGCAATTTTGGAAGACATAGGCGCGAATGGTTTTCGAACATGACGAAGGCACAATGGGAAGGATTGCGAGGGATACGAAAACGCGTAGCGGATGATGAAGTTCGTCTTTCCGTTGTGACAAAGGAGAGAATTCGTGGCTCTACCTCGTACACTACGTCGGGAAATCACAGAGCTCCACCCTAGCGATACACCTGTATACAACCACTCCACGAAAAGGGCGTTCCTCAAAATAGTACAAAATAGTACAGAAGGCTGATTAGAAGACTAAGGCTGGATACAACTTCGTGCCCCGTTTCTATAGCAGATTAAAATTCATATGATGAAAAGTCAGTTAATGCCCGTCATCAAATGTGTAGGGGACAAACCAACAGTACTACTTGGTTTAACAATGAGATTGTTGGCCAACTACTCTAGTATTACCCCTCACATCCACCTAACGCGAATGTATTTCTTGATCACCAGCGTTCGCGTAAGCTCCAAGAAAACTGTATCGGAAGGACAGCTCGAAAAAAAATCTTGCTACACTCAAAGTCCGGTCATTCCAAAGCTGTTAATGTGCAGTGATTCTTAACATGTACTGAAAAGCTAGAGGAGTGCGTACAATCGAAGTGAAACGCGGTTTGTCTTGTTAGCTAGCATGTGCGATTGCGGAGGAGAATGGCTATGGGACACAACGCCAAAGGTTAGGCTCACAAAGTTGTTCGTCGAAATACTGTCAGAATTAACCCATTTCCGGCTTCGATTTATATTAGACAAGGTCAGAAATTCCACAATGCACTGCACGAGTGGATGTGGAGGTTTTATGATCGTGCATGTACTATGGGACACCTGCGTAATTTGTCCGTTTGAGAAAGATGGAGATTGTACACAGCGAAGGACACTGGACCAAGTCCAGTGCCTAGCCTGTAATGAAATAAGTATTGATGAGACGGGAACCATGTCAGGCGTACGTGTTAAAGAACATATAGTTCTTACGCCAAGTGGGAGGCACCGACTAGAAAAAAGTCAGGGCAGCGATTTTGATACTAAACGCAAAATCCTAGCCTATGATAATGATAGAGCTGCTGATGCTAGAATGATATTGAAAGCATTGCACATCCGCCAAAGAAATCCTTAATGAAAAACCGAAACGTGTGCATTGCCGTAACAAGTGAATTTCTGCCATTTATTCCTTCTGTGGGCATTGGCATCACCGCTAGTTCTTATCTAACGAACGTGAATGGTGTCTCATTGTTCCTTGTTTTGCACAAAATCAAAAGGGACGGCAACGCTGGTGGAACCGGTTGGTTGGTTTCTTGATCAGGATCTTTCGTAGTTCAAGTTTCTGGGAGCTGTTCCAACTGGCCCAGCGCGTTCGGGCGCCTGATCGGGCAAGCCACAGACCAGCAGCTCCGAAATACTTCCTTGTCTTTGAAGACGACGAATATTCGTAGCGGAGCTTTCTCTGTGATTTTTACCATTCCCTCTGACAAGGGAAGGATACTTGGTCGCAAGGGACAATAAAGTTGAAATGTATGCTGCCGTAGATTTTTTCAAAGGTTGATCTCAAAGCTACGTTCCAAATCTGTGAAACATTCTGCGAACAGAGTTACGGAACAGTTTCCCTCCTGTGTTATACCACTGGGCTGAAAATATTAACCAACCGAGCAACTCCATGATCCAAGCAGCGATGGCGCAGATGGTATGGGGCGGGACTCGTACGCATGACATGCAAGTTCGAATCCTTGATCGTGTGCCCTTTCCGCTTTTTCGTAAAACGTTCCTCGAACGCTGCAAAACGTTTTTGCACCTCAGCGTCTGAAAGCACCTACGGAGGTATACAACTCATCTTGAATGGCCCCTGCGACCAAGTATCCTTCCTTTGTAAGATGAAACAATATCACACAGAGAGTATGATTGTGAGGCTCGTATGACTGGAAGAGGCCGTGAAAAGTTAGGGCATCATGTCAGATTAAACTCGGTCTCAAGGGTCCAGTTCTGCAAGCTAAAGGAGCTCAGAAACGTAGAGGCTGTAACGGTTGAAATATGAAAAGATCGAGCTCCAATCATCCCACAGCTGCATCTTTCAGAAAATCGACGGTCACGTTCGTTGAGGTTGCGAAACAGCGCAGAAGTCACAAAAAGTGAAAGGCCACAAAAAAATGCTTGTCCCCGCTCAAATTGTATTTGGCTACATCATTTTGGCACAATTCACCAATCCAACGACATCATTGTCTATCCCTTAAAGATTCGAAGCTCTTATCATTTTATACCTGCAACCATTTTTTCCTAAGGAGAAAATTTGTTGAGACGTAATATGGTCTCGGAGCGCAATTCAACATAGCGCGATCTGGAAATTTGTGTCCTTTACCTGAGAATTCCTCAACCCACAAGCGCAACCTGACTAAATTATTTCTCAGTGATGTGCTCATTCTTTTTTGGTTGAAACTTTTTTTTCTGCAAGGGTTGCCGGGTTGCAGATCGAAAGTTCCACGTGGAATTCGAGTTTTTCGAGTGAAAGCAAGCAGTTCATAATCGCGATTGGGCAAAGCTTCCACATAACGCTTTCAATTTTTTTTAACTTTAGCGGATTCAGCGTATCTTCTTCTACACCTTGGAAGCTGATGCGAAACGTCGGTAGTTGCTTAATGGCTTAAGTCAAAATCCTCGGCTAGCACACAATTATGGAATAGGGATCTTTCTGATAACTTCCAAAACCAATTCAACAGTCGACCAGTCGTAGCCCGGCTCACGCCAGGTCTCCTCCTGTCCGTTTAAAGAAGGCCTGTTGTCTAAGCCCTCCCAAATTTAGATGCTTCCGTGCACGAGAACAGGAAACATAATTTCCGGGCCAAACGCACACACTCCATGGGCGCTTTCCCCCTCATGAACGGGCTCCCGCTCAACTCATGTATCTTCAGTCGTGTCACCTGCCATTAGCATTCCCGTACTGCCACCTGTACATATATCGAATCTGTGCAATATAGGTATAACTTGACAATTTGCGCGCACGCGTCTCCCCCTTTATGAAGAGTCTAGTTTAACGCCATCAGTGTTTCCATTCTGTCGCCTGTACCCCTACCGAAGTTGAACGCTCAAGGTAGACGGGAAGACGTGTTATATGTTTCCAGTCAAAGATATACCGACACACACACAGAGGACCATCATCACTCCCCCTTTTCTTCTCGAGAAGAATAAGTAGTGAGTAGTGGCTCCATATTGAGCAGTACAAATGACCGATATCGGTTGCCATTATCGATCGCTGCGTTTGCAGCTATATGTCTTGAACGTCTCTTCAACGTCCTTGGGTCGCAACATTGCACCGCTCGAGGGAACAAAGTAGCTACTGATCCATCTTTTACAAAACAGGTGAGTATAGCAAAATTAAAGCACATTAAATTGCATCAAATTATAGCATACTCGCCAACATCCCCACAGGTGAATCCCAGGGGGATTGTAGGTAGCTCAGATCATGTGTTCCTGAGTAGCAATACCCATTCCCCGCTTATTTCAACATGGATAATCTGTTTTACTTCAACAAAAGCGTTGCTCACTTTCATTTTCTCTCCTGAAAACATACAGACAGACAGACAGACAAACAGACACATACACATACATAACATACATAACATACATAACATACATACATACCATACATACATACATACCATACATACATACATACCATACATACATACATACCATACATACATACATACCATACATACATACATACCATACATACCATACATACCATACATACCATACATACCATACATACCATACATACCATACATACCATACATACCATACATACCATACATACCATACATACACACACACACAAACACACCGACACACCAACAGACACACTTAGCGAATTACATAAAGTAGGATATATGTATGTATATATGCATATATGTACATATATAACGGATACATGAGTACATATACGCATATAGCGTATTTTGGGGAAAGCAGGCCTTCTCTGTACAAAGAAAATTCGTCTAGGGGATCATTTCACAACTTGAACATCGACAGGTGGCCGGTACCTATCGCTGCCGCCATGACTTTATTAAAAGGCTCGTAATATGAACGCAGCATAATGAAAGCTTTCTTCAGGTTGCTGTGACCAACGAGGTTTACGAATATCTAGGACGTCCCCAGTTCTTTTTTTGCCCCACAGGTGAGTCAAGTGGTTGCAGTATACCTTCCTTTAACCTAAGCTTATCCTCCTAACTTCAGAATATTGTGAAAGTCGAGCAGTGCCATCGCTGGAGCACTCCGAATATCTAGCTACGCTAGGAGAGGAGCTAATCAATGATGTACATATTCTTTGGACAGGTTGCTTT